ATAACCCACAAAGCAAAAACAATGCCACTGACTGTTTCTGATGCCAGGCTACCCATCCAGATGTCTCTCCCCCCACATAACCTCTGCCCTAGAGCACACAATGTAATAATTAAAATCATGCTTCCTACGACATCTAAGAAATGTGAATATAAGTAGTATCCAAGAGTGCTGGTATACAAGTAGGAAAAGGCTCTGCTTCAGAGTGAGGTAAGATACGTGGAGTTTGCTGAGCCCACCCTTTTATCCACTGCATTCCCCAGGCCCAGCCCAGAAAGGTAGTCTGACAGACTTGGGAAGCCATGTAACAGTATGGAATAGCAGCAAATGACTTTTGGAGGAAAAGGGAATAGGCAAAAATTTGGTACATTAAGTCACCATTGGAGATAATCTAATTTAATTCATACCTCTGGAGCCAAATGGCTTTTACTATATATTTCACTAAAGATCTGCAATCTATCAACTCCTGAACCACATCAGGCCACACTACCAAAACACATGATGATTCAAATAAAAACATAAAAAATACTTAAGCTTTAACATTTATTTACACTCCTCTCAAGCATACTTGGATGAATAGGTACAATCCTGTCAAACTTATACTATGGTAGGTCCAACAGTAAATATCAACTTTCCAGAAACAACATCCCCACACTCAGAAGCCCATCAGGCTCAATAGAGCTAGGTCAGCTAATTTATTTCAAAAGTAATGTAGACCCAGATATTGATTCCTGTAGAAGGCAGATCAAACTTAGTCTCAATTATATGTCAACCCTGTGTTTAAATCTTAGATCTTGAGAAGTCATATTGTCCAGTTTTGTCCAACCATTTAGTGCCTCCTACTGGTCAGCAGCTAATATAGTACTTAAAACTATACGCACAGGCACACAGACACAGACAGACAGACAGACACACACACACACACACAAAAACACAAATTCTGAGGCAAGCCAGTCTTGAAGCCTCTAACACAAGGCCCAGATTAATAAAAGCACAAAACTGTCTGCCATGAAAGCACATTGAAAACAAACAGAAAAAGGTATACTGCATACCTAATAGACCTTTTCCTCTACTTTTCAGTTAATGGATTTCTTGCTTTTTTTTTTTGCTGGGTTCATTTTTCCTTGTTTACATAACTATTTTGTCTGCCTGAGAATGGTTCCTGTTCTGCCAACATAACCTTTACAAATCCCTTCCTTCCTTTCCTGTTAATGTCACTGCTACAGTCTCTAGAGTCTTCAGCAGCTGAATTTTAAAGAAGTGACAGTTGCTCAACTCTTCAGTAAACCAAGGGGGAGATCATACTGGAGTAAGGAACTAATTTTTCTTGCTCTTAATTATAAAAGTTCTGCAACAGTGTGTTAAAAAAAAAAAGTATCCTACGTTGCATATGTCTTCATTGCAATTATTGCAAACTGAGAGAAGATCTTGTTTTTTAAAAGATTAATTAATTAATTAATTTCCAAATGAATAAAACAAGAAATTCATCTTTTTTAACATAGAAAAAATGACTAGGAAAATTTGTTTCGGATAAATAACTGCAGTGGAAAAAAATTAAGCATGACAAAAAAAACGACTTACATAATAACTGCTGCTTGTACGAGTTTCAGTAGGTAGAAAATAATTATTTCACATAAATTCTGTAATTTTAGCTTTTGTTTTAAAACACAAATTTTGATTTGCATAACTAAGACAACTTTGACACCAGAAGAACCTTGTTTCAGTAAACTATGCTACAGTAGCATTACTACTGTGATCATTCTGACATTACAATTGGCACACAGTGACCATTTCAAGGTACAGTTGAAATATGTGATATCTTTATTATACCACCTGTATTGGCCACAAGTGTGTTTTCAGGGAAAATTTACATTGTGTGTTTTGCTATTTAAAACACTATATGATTTTGATCCAGGTTATTGGGAAAATTCAATTTTATTAGCATTAAAGTGCTTACACTTGATCAGTGCTGAAGGTCTTGTCTACATTTCAAAGCAAAGAGCTTTGACAGTACGGTGGACAGGGCCTTTTGATAAATAAACTGTTGAAACTCCCTTTTGCATACTATCTTTTGAGTAGTAATTTTCAGGCCCTTTATTACACCAAATGTACCATGACATTTAACTATTTTAGTAGGATTTTGTCATTTTAGCAGTTTTTAAATGTTGTAGTTAGGATGCAAGTGCTTGTTTTTAAAATAGTGAACAAAGTTTTTTTTTTTTCTTATAAGTTATGTTCAGATATTACTTTTCCTATGAAAACCTGAGGAAAAGTGTCATTTTCTACAGATTAACTCACAGCAAGTTAGCAGTTGAGAAAATTGATTAGGAATTAGAAATAGAGCACAGGATATGTAAGTAATGAATTTCATGCTAGACATACATAAAATAATATCAGTAGCATGCAAAGAATTGGCGTGAAATTCAAGGATACATAGACAGATTTCTTTCTCTCCTTCTCTTTAGCACCATTAACAGCTATTCTGTAGCCTGGGAGATACAATAGTAAAAGTACATGAGGATTACAGATAGAAAAGAGAATTTTCTTTTTTCTGGTTTGTCAGTTTAAATCTTTCTCATCAATACCACTGTTTTGTACATTATTTCTGATATAAGATTGTTATCCAGTGCCCACTTCTGCTCAGCAGATTGACTATTCTCATGTACTGGGGACTTTTAAGTTCATATTTTAGAATTGTTTTTCTAATACAGGAAATATATATATTGGTATTGCATAAGAATTTGTACAGTATCTACTGTTGCAGCCTATGAAGATATAATTTATAGTTCAGAAGATTGAAGTGAGATTTTATTGCTTCCTGTGGTCCACTAGATTCCTGAGTGGGTAGGATGCATGACTAAGTCCTCCACACCCTATGACAGTGCAGATGGGAAAAATTTCCCAAGGGTTCTTTGCATAAGGACACAAATATTTTCCATGGATATATATCTTGTGACTAAATGACTAGGAAACTTCAGTCAGCTTTTAAAAATAGAAATTATTATTGTTGTAGTCTTTACATTTTTGCAATTTAACTCCCAAGTCAACAGTTTTCTCCTAGATCATGAAAAAAATGTGAGGCTATCCTTTTTTATCAACAGCATTATATGACAGAGCTTAAAGCTTTGAAATGTAGAAATAAAAATATATTGGAAAGTGGATATCTAACTAAGTAGTATTAAATTGTAATTATCTCCTTTCAGTTGACCTTGACCACTGGAGAATATATGGATATTGTTTTCCTGGGAATAATATGGGAGTGGATTGCTCTTCCTTTGTTTGGATTTTTTCCCCCTTTAAGTTGCTGATCTAGGTTTCAACCCATGTATTTCGCTGCTGTTCCATTCAAGAACAAGCTAGCACTAATTTTGTTTTGTGACAATCTGCCAAGGACAGATAAATGCTGCTATGTAGAACATTACCAATTAATTGAAAAAGATTCAAAGCACATACGTGAAATACCAGTTTGCATGAATTAATATAAATGCATATTTACAAGTTTAAAAATTAGTGGTGTTCATTTCAATAAAAGTATTTCCAAGAATCTGCAGAATTATTTTCTCTCACCACCAAATTACATATTCCTCCCCATATGTTTACACATTGCACTAAGCCACAAAATCTCGGTTTGTTGAACAAGCCACACAACATTGTTGGGATGGGGCCTATGTATGGGTTCTTAAAGGCCTAACCAGACAATAGGAAACTATGTTTAAACAGAATGTCAATATTGTTTTTATACTTAATATAGAAGAAAATAAATATTAAAAGTTATGTTGAATTTGATGGGAGAGTCAAAGCAATTGCATCTTTCTCTTTAAATTAACAGATAAGAGATCTGGCATGCAGGAATGTAATTAATACAAAATTAGATGGTGTTGCCAGGTGTAATTTGGCAAAGAACCTAGAGCCAAAGAAATGAAACCACAGCTTGATTTTTGGAAAACACAATCACAACAAAACAAATGAAGCATATTGTAACTTACCATGCAAGTGAAATGACATATTTGCTAAGGTTGGAAGAAGTAACTGTTCTTTTTATTGACAAAGTATTTGTCTATTCCCTTTGATAGAGCACTTTTCATCTCTACAAGGTCTTATCTGCAAATTTTGGTAACTCAAAAAGGTTTTTTTTAACACGTGTTGACTTTGTACAAAAGCTTCTGCTGCTGCTTGCAATAGATCAATAGAAGAGTCAAGAGACACTTCTGTACAAATGCAGCAGCATCTACACAGAAACTTCTTTTGTAAAGTGAAACAACATGGCTCATAGGTCCACTGTTTTACACAGCATCATGAAAGGTGCTTCATATGGGCCTTCATCACAAAGAATCATTTGGAAGCTCTGCCCAAACCAATATTTGCAAACAGAACGAAGTCTTGGCAGTCCCTTCTCAGAAATGAAGCATTTACAATACTTTTATATAACTTTTACCAATGATGTTACACAGTTCTTCAGAGTGGATCTGAAATTAAACTTGGATATAGATGTTGTATCTTGATCTGCTTATGTTCAATATAAAGCAATGCCCTTGATCAGTCACTGATTGTTACACAGACTTCTTCCCTATTTAAAGAATTCAGGTATTTCTATTGCAGTTCTAGTAATTCTGAAAATTATCTTATACTGTTTCATGATGCTAATATTCTTTGAATCTGTTTTTCTAGTTTGACCCTTGTGAGTAGTGTTTAGCTAAGCTGACTCTCCTAATAATCCTTTCTTGTTTTTTAAATCTGCATTTTGTGGAGTATTTGGTATGTCCAATGTGGCTGTCCACAAACTGTCACCAAATATTCAGTATAAAATAAATTTTATGAATTTATTTTAAGGTTTCTTTCTATATTTGGGGAGAACAAAAGAAATGAAAAACACATTATAAATACTCTTTTCACTCTTTCCTTTCTTGAGAATTACCTAAGATTGACTATGACTAAGTCAGAAATGAAATATATAAAAGATAAGAAGATAGAGGAGTTGTAGCCGAATGTTTTTTAGTACATACCACTGTGGATGGCTTGTCCCGGTGGGTGTCTACAGCTTCAACATTCAGAGAAATCATGTCTAATTTGCAGCCTTCATAAAATTGAAAATATAGGGAATTTTAGGAACCATTTTGGGAATTGAAGTACTGTAATATCATCAAGAAATGAAAAGCAATATATATCAAGGAAGAGATCTGAAATACTTGAATCCAACAGACTCCAAAAAGGACTATGCCAAAGTAGGCAAGAATTAGACATATAGACGGAAGACATAGATCTCACTGTAATTATTTAATCAGTTATTCCCCAACAAGTCACATTTAATTTAGCTTATCATTAATTTAATTTAACATGTTTTATCAGGAAGTGTACCATTATTTATAAAGGGAAACTGAGATGACTGTTGTGGTTTGCCGGCAGCCTGTGCAGACGCTAACGGAATCAGACAGTGGAGAAGAACGGCGACCAGTCCGAGACTCTGGGGAGGACTCAAACAAGGGCCCTGTGTCCAATGCAGAGATGGGGCCAGGACCATCTGGGAGTTGTGTGCTGACTCTGGAGATTCCAGAGTCTGGCAACAGCAAGGCAGAGGAACAAGGGGAGCCTGTTCCCAGTGTGCCTGTGCACAGAGCTGCTAGAAGGCAACAGCAGCTAAGACAAAAGGGGTGACTTGGGAATAATTGCCCCTCCCCTAAGGTATAAAGGAAGTGCAAAGGTAGAGAAACCTTAGATACAGGTACAGATAATCAGAGTTGGAAGGGACCTTGCAGGTCATCTAGTCCAACCCCCCACCCAAGCAGGAGACCCTACACCATTTCTGACAAATGGCAGTCCAATCTCTTCTTGAAAGTCTCAATTGATGGCGCTCCCACAACTTCCGAGGGAAAGCTATTCCATGGGCTGATTGTTCTCACTGTCAGAAGGTTTCTCTTTGTTTCCAGGTGAAATCTCTCCTTGTTCAGTTTCCACCCATTATTCCTTGTCTGGCCTACAGGAGCTTTAGAAAATAGCTTGACCCCTTCCTCCCTGTGGCAGCCCCTCAAATACTGGAAGACCGCTATCATGTCTTCCCTGGTCCTTCTCTTTACTAGACTAGCCAAGCCCAGTTCCTGCAACTGTTCATCGTATGTTTTAGCCTCCAGTTCCCTAATCATCCTGGTTGCTCTTCTCTATACTTTTTCTAGAGTCTAAACATCTTTTTTATAATGTGGTGACCAAAACTGGATGCAGTACTCTAGGTATGGTCTTACTAAGGCTTTATAGAGTGGTATTAGTACTTCCCTTGATCTTGACTGTATCCTTCTGTTAATACAATTTAGGATTGCATTAGCTTTTTTGGTGGCTGCTGCACACCGCTGGCTCATATTTAGCTGGTTGTCCACTAATACTCCAAGATCCCTCTCACAGTTACTGCTATTGAGCCTGGTTTTACCCAGTCTATATGGGTACTTTTGGTTTTTCTTGCCGAAGTGTAGGACTTTACTTTACATTGAATTTCATTTTCTTAAATATGGCCCATTGTTCTAGTCTGTCAAGATCCATCTGGATCTTGAGCCTTTCTTCTTGGGTGTTAGCTATTCCTGCCAGCTTAGTATCATCTGCAAATTTGGTAAGTTCCCCTTCTATTCCCTCATCTAAGTCGTTAATGAAGATATTGAAGAGTACTGTGCCTAAGATGGAACCTTGTGGCACCCCATTGCTTACTTCCCTCCATGTAGACTTAGACCCATTGAGGAGTACTCATTGAGTACGGTTTGCCAGCCAGTTGCGAATCCATCTAGTGGTGGTGCTATCTATACCACTTTTTTCTAGCTTACTAAGAAGTAGGTTGTGGTCTACTTTGTCGAATGCCTTGCTGAAATTTAAATATATTATGTCCACAGTATTTTGCTGTGTACCTTTGCAGGAAGCAAAGTTGTTCACTCTGTTCGGATTAAATCTTAAAGCTCTGTGTGGACTTTGTACTTGGGTTGGTTTTTTACAGTTAATTTGGCACTTTAGTTATTGGCGGAAATTCAAAGGAGATAAAGGTGGGTCAAGGGACTGTTTGGGACTCATTATGGGCTGGGAATGAGCATAATTCCCAGCGTTGAAATAAAACAAGAATTGTTTGGACTAAACGTGTGCTTAATTACGGTCCCAGGAAGCCTTGGCCAGAACAATGGGTAAAAGTCACACATGTACCAAAAAGTAATATATAACTGTACTAATTACACTTTATCAATTCAAGAAATAGAAGATACCTAATCTAATGAAACAAATAATAAGATAAATAGATATTTGCATTACTGCTTTTCTCTCATATGTTCCAACATAAACAAATAAATACTTGCCATAAGCAACTGGTGTAAGCTTAAAGATGGTATGAAGAGGACATCTTAAATAAGGCAATTCATCTAAGATAAAGTAATAAAAGTTAAACAGATGTGCTGGATAGTAGTGCAAAACAGGCAGTATACTTTGATTCAGCAGGAACTATGAACCAACCTGCAGGCTCTGAAGAGTGACACACAGAGAATGTTAGAATTAGAATTGAGGTACAGAATAGAGGCAATACAACTATATTCTCACAAAATTTGACTATTCTAAATATTCTGCTGTACAGAAATTTAAAAATTTCAATATGGAACTCAATCTAATTTCCATAAACCTATTACATAATAGTAATTCTCTGAAATTATCTAAATAAAATTTCTTTCAAGTCAATGGACAGATCTAGATAGCTTTGCTGGTGGCAATATGGAAGTGGTTTGCTGTTGCTTTCTGAAAATACTTCTAAATTTCCTGATAACACTTACAATTATGATATTCCCTGGAAGTCTCATATGGAAGCATTGATTAGGCCTGATCTAGACAACTTTGGCCAAGAAGTAGTATTTCCTAAGATGATATATTATAATACCTGGATCTTCTATACAACAACATGGTTTTCCTCTTCTGGACATCCTCCAGTTGCATGGAGCGTGTGTGTGTGTGTGTGTGTGTGTGTGTGTGTGTGTGAAAATCTGCATCATGATAATAAATTTGACATTCTCAATTATGCATGCAATATTGATACACATTCAATAGGGGCTGGACTCTGGATTATGCCATATATCATGCAAATTTTGACACACATACATAGACACACAGACATGCACTACACTCAAGCCACTTATCAGGATAGCTAAGAATTCTGGAAATGTTAATCCAAGATATCTCAACTATAGTAGACTGTGGATGGTTAATGTAGCAAGTATATTAACCCAGTAATACTGAGTAACATTTAAAGAACATAGAGAAATAATCAATATAAAAACAAAAGAAGATTGCAATAAAGCTTGGTCAAATAATAATTTGACATTTGCCATAACTGCATATTCATTACATAATCACATCCTCATCTTCACACATAAAGATTACTGGCTCCAATATCAGTAAAAGTCACTGAATGTGTATACAGTATGTATATTTTGAAAGTGCCCATAATGTCAATAATTTTAGGCAGGACAGTGATATCTAGTCTGGAAAATAATCAATAATCTGAAACTGAATCTATTTTAGTAACTATGGCAGCTTTATAAACTCAGTAGAAAAAAAGGAAGAGTACGTGTGAATGTGAAGCCTGAGTTTCATCTGGACTAAAGCAGGTAAAATGGAAAACTCTCCTCTCCTTGCACATTGCAGTTCTGAATGAAATCTATTCTCATGGCTGCTATCAATGTTATTATTTATTAAACTGATGTGATTACTAATTATGCATTTATTGTCTTATGTAGTTTATAAATTGTTTCCTATTAAGGAAGATAAACTCTTGGTGGTTGAAGACTATATACAGTTTGGTTTTATTAGATTAAGGCAGCATAGCAGTGGTGGTTAGGGCTGTGAGGTAAAAGTAGGTAAGACAATGTTAAAAAAGGAAGCAGTTCAGAAAATATGACATTAAAAAAATATCAGCTTCATAAACAAAGCTCCCTCAAAGAGTTGCTATAGAAAAATACAAAAGAAAAGAACTACAAGCTGAACTTTCATGGCAAGCTATGATGATCAACTTCAATAAGGTGAACTGGGAATCTAAAGCTTAGAGAAGGAACTACTGTTGTGGTTAGCGGGCAGTAGGTGTGGACGGTGGAGGAGAGCGAGGACTCAGATGAGGGGCTTTCAGAGATTGTGGGGGCTGGCAGCAGTGATAAGGAGGTTCCCGAGGAGCCAGTGCCAAGTGTACATGCACGCGGGATTGCTTGTAGGAGAGAGCAGTTACAGCAGCATGGGCGACTCGGGAGTAAGGCTGCAAGGTGATGGCCCCTCCCTCAAGAGGATAAAAGCCAGGTTTGAAGAAGCGTTCTCTGCAGAAGGCGAAGACACTCTGAGACTCAGCCTCATGGACATTATAGTTAGTATTTGAAAACTCTTGTAAACTATTTCTTATGTGTGGGTTTTTGGCAGCCTTGAAAAACAACTTGGCAAGGCTCTTTCTTGTTGGAGCTAATTAGTTGGAAGCAGCCTTTTATCTGTGAAGAAACAGAATTCGTGAATGAAACCTTAAAAGGTGGGGGCTGCTGCCTTTGTCTTGTGTTTGCTCTCTTGGAACCAGGTTGGGTCAGAACAACTACATATAAACTGCTCACCTCTATTCTAGATCATCACTGCTTTATTTCCATTTGCTATAACAAGAAAAGTTTTTTTTTACCTGCACTCTTGTCAAGAAAATAGGCCAATAGACATCTCATAACTGCCTGGTGAGAAATAACTAGGACATTCTCTTGACGTTCCAGTTCCATAATTACAGGTTCCAAGCGTTGGACCAAATCTTGGTAAGACTAAAAAAGCCCCCAAGAAAAATATTAATCAAAAAGATGGAAGTTTCCAATAAATGTCTTTTTAAAGTATCCAAATACTTTTTCTACCTAGCTGACTATTATATTTTATCTACTATATTACATATATTACATCATGGATCTTTCTTGGAAAATTTAACATAGCTTACATGAATTATTTTGATTTGGGGAGGGGAGGCAAGATTTCTAAATCAAGAACTTCCTTATTCTTTATTGGCATCATTATAACACCTGAAAATTGGTCGGTGGGTAAAATATCATAATTTATATGATTCAGAAGGCTCTGATAGCATTTTGGATTTCAAAATCTAACACTGCATTTAGACTGTTATGACTTTGAGGATATGAATAAGAATCTGGGAGCAATTATGTCACACTAAGACTTGTTGCGTTTCTGCCCTAAAATGATAAAGCTTGTTTATTATGCGATTTGTCAGTTGGCTCCAGGAGAGTTCTATATTATAGTTCTTTTTTAACTTTAAGGACTATTGCAACACAATGAATACACTTCCAACTCTATCAAATGAAAGTGGTAATATTTAGTTTAATATAGCAATGATTAAAAAAACACACTTCTCCTCCAGGATAGCGGTAAAGGTACTTCTCTTGATCTCGAAGTGCAAACTCTTCTGGATATTTTCTTTGAATCTCTTCATATGTCATTTCTTCACATACTCCCTAGAAAATTAAGTATGGAATGCAAATGAATTTAATTGAACCTAAGCAGTTTGTCTTTTCTAAGATTTACATTTTTCCAAACATGACAGCAGATATATTATACCATCTATTATTTGGAAACAGGACCTTGACAGTATTGAACTTGATGTATTGATAAAAAGTGCTTCTCGACTGCAGCCATATTGAATAGGGATTTATTTTTAAATTTAATTTATGAAATGATGGATGGAGAGAAAGAGAGAGAGGTGAAGGTAGACAGAGAGACAGATAGATGAAATTATATGTAGCTTATCTTTATGGCAACAAAGTTTACTTGAAACTACATCACCACTATCCTTTTAACTTTTCTGCCATTCTACTCACTGCATCGATTTCATTCAGTATCTTCCATTGCTCATATGGTACGCCTAGGGCTTCTGCTGTTTGGATTGTTCTTTTCAACTGGCTAGTCCAAACTTTCAGATCCATAATCTCTTGCTCTTTGATAAACATTTTCAATGCTTCAGCAAACTGTAAAACAATACAGTAAGATTAAGATTTTTCCTTGCATATTATGAAGATAAGGATAGTAACTTATCTTTGGTGCTGCTTACATTATCAGGAAAAATTTTTAAGGTGGTATTGGAAACAGCAATTTGGAAGCTGTAGAAAGCAACTTTTCTCCCCAAGTCATACACAGCTAAATTTTTATAATCACAAAGTTCAATACAAAATTTGTCGATTTTCTTGTATTGTATATAATGGTCATTTTGTTGTTTTTTGGTTTTTTTTGTTTCCAACTGCTGTGCTACAATTCCAACTGTAATATAAAGTTTTTTGATCCAAAATAAGCTTTTATCAGTGTATCATTCTGAAGAATTCTCCCATGTTACAGGCCAATTTTAGAGAAGTACAATGGGCTGCAACAGGGCATGAAAGAAACCTTCATCAAGGAAAGGTAACTTGACTGCAATCCATTATCTTAAAATAACATATCAAGCAATGGGTTAAACAATTACATGTAAGCATGTTTCTATTATAAATGGTCCTATCCAACTTGCAAAGTTTTTGTGATTATTATGAATTCTGATTTATACTAGAAGTTTACCGGTAAAGGAGTGGGTTACTTTGAATAATCACAATCTTTTACAATAAAATAACTAAGGATGGAGGATATCACAGAAGAAATTTGAGGTATAAATGCTAAAGAAATCTTCTATTTTTTATTCCATTCAATTTATTTAAAACACGTTTATATCTTTTTTTAATGTTTTTTAATTATGTAAGGTGGTAATGTTTATGGGTATTCTCAGAATATTATTTAAGTATAATAAATTGAACTATTCTTCCAGTAAAAACTAGTAAATTTAGAATGTAATGTTTGTTGTTTTGAGTATGTATTTCTGGTCTTCAGCTGAACTGAAAGTAAATGTGGGCAAATAATCTGTCTTAATTTAGCTGTTAGTATGCAAATTCCTGTAGCTCCTGTTTGCAATTCATTAAAGCAATGTGAGTGTAGAAAACATGTTACATTTAAGGAGTTGCTGACAACTAAAATGTGTGTGCTCTGACTGCCTTTTTGCCTTGAATCTGAAACACAGCAGTGCCCAACAAAATTTGCAAACTTCCTGTGAATTAGATCATACCTGCTTCCCACGTGTTGACAGGCCTGAATCTCCACCTATCTTTCTAATAAGGTTGCATTCACTTTCTCCATGTCTACAGAGATAAATTGTGCGTGGCTGAATGTGAATATTCATGAGATAATAGACAATTTTACTTTGGATGTAGTCTTGGACCCGGTTGACCAGAAAGCGCTGCCCAACGTTGATAACTTTAATGAAAGAAAGGTCTCTGCAATTAAAAAATATATACCAGAAATCATTAGATAGCAAGACATCACACAATTATTCAATGTCTGTTTTTGTAACTAAGGGAGGGCGCACCACAAAAAGAAAGGTGAAAGGCTGATGCATAAAAGAGATGAATTTGAATATGAGAACCAGTTTTTAATTATATATTAGATCAGGGTAGTACTTAGGATTCTGTCTCCAAAAGATGTTTCAGAGATGGTGGAGGATGCATATAGTACATTACATTGGACTTGCACAACAGCTAGAGAATGTAATGGGATTGTAGGAAAAGATATAGCTGCATTTTTCACTCCGCCACTAGTCCAAAGCACCTTTTAGAGATCAAATCTAAAATGCAGATTGATTCTCCCTCCCTCCCCCCCCCTCTTTTACCCCTCCCCCCACACTCACCAAAGCAATAACTGTGTATGAGAAGTGGCAAGGTAGTAGTAGAAAGATATCGGAAAGCAGAAAGATAAAAGCTTATTTCTATGAAATCATGAGGGGAAAAAACATTATATTTTAGCAAGTATTTTCAGACATATAAAACGTATCTCTGACTATTGAGATACTTTTTAAAGTATACTAATTATTACAAATATTTAAATGTTTTTAAACTATTTCTAAATATTGCTAAAAAGGAGAAGTGATTCTTGCACCAGTCCCAAACCAAAACAGATGTTACAAAACCTGATTCTTATACTAGAAATTATTTCTGTTCTTAATAAGTAAGAAAGAATAAACCTTGCATGCATAAAATCTCTGAATTCTCCACTATTTTCTAGAATATCCTTCCAGAAATCATAATATCCTCCCATCTTTTCTTCCACGCCCTTTTTACTCCAAACACATGCAGTAACCATGATCCAGAGAAGTATCAATGGAATGAGGTATGGTAGAAGGTGACTTTTCAACTCTTTTTTCCCTGACAACCTCACTGACCAGTCTCTCCTGAAGTTTGGAATGGTGAAGCATTCTTTTAGGGCAGATTAAGGCATAGGGAGTTTAGAACAAAATAACTGTAACTGAAAAACTGGGCAGAGTATTGTGATCCCAGAATAATCCTCCATTTGAATGTCATCAAGTTTATAAGGAAGACCTTATCTTCTTCTGTCACAGCCCAAACCTATTCAGGAAGAGGCTTTTCAGGGAAGGTCTTCAGAAAAGTCACCTCTGCCTGGTCTTCCGTTGGTGTGTCCTGGATCCAAGTCTATGATCAAGAATTCCCATGATTCCTTTGCTGTGCATCTTACTTGTCATAATCAACTGGATCAAGGGGTTGATAGGTGACTTTATAACATTCTATTCTCTTCAGAAAATCTTCCATCACATTTTCTCGGTTTCTTTCTGGATAATCTGGACTGGAGACTTTAACATCCTGGTGCAACCAAAAAAACGAACTCTTTGAAAGGCAAACTCTATCTATACAAAAACTTTATATATACATAAAGAGATAAACAGCAGTGATAACAATCTTAAACTCTACTTTTAATAAACCACTTTTAATAAATATTACCTTCTAACAAGGTATAGTTTTGACCATCTGGGAATAGATATACAGAAATGTTTTTTTAAAAAATGCACTGATTCTAATGCACAGGTATGCCTTCCAAGATTAATAACCAGTTTCCAAATGTTAATTTGTTTCATGTAACTAGATATAAGGTTTTGCAGATTCTGATGCCTGAATAATTTTAAGAGACTTTTTAAAAATCTTATAATCTATTTATTTTATAAATTCATCTAATGAATATAGTTTAAAAAGTATTGCACCAATACTTGGGAAAGCATTACCTATTTTAATTTTGTCTATTTAACTGAGTCAACACTATTTTAAACCCTAACATAACAAAAACAGATAGTTTTAATACAAAATATTCTAGCATTTATGCATACAGTATCTTTCCTATTAGACAGTTTAGAGAAGAATATATGTTAATCTGCTGCAACAAACATAGCAAAAGTAATAAAACACTCTAAACTTTTATTGTAACAGGAATATATGTAGCCTACAATCTGGTGCACCAGATCGTTGGATCTTTATCCTGAGATAGGCAGGCATGTATATTTTTGGGTGCAATAGGGATAGAACACTCAGAGAGAAATGACACAAGACATTGTAGATAAAGAAAAGCATGGTAATTATTGGTTGTTGGGTTTGACACAGGCACTTTTCCACTGGTAAATTGATTAACTCTTACAGCAGGGCTGTCAAACTCATGGCCCGAGGGCCAGATGCATCATGTGTTGGCTATGCCCATGCCCAGTTTAGCAAAGAGGGGAAAAGCCATGATACGTCATGTGATGCCGCTGTGATGACATGAATTTGATACCCTTGTCTTATAGTGAGAGAAGAAATCTTAGCTTGTTTTGTGTAAAACATTCCAAGAAAACCTAAGAAAAACAATTAATAAGCAATACTTATAACTCCTCAGACAAGCACCATCTACCTTCTATCTATAATATACAAATCAGGCAACTCTAGATATCCTAATGTTTCTGGAATTAGTATAATCAAACCAGGATATATGGTATTTATATTATCACACAGTAGAGCAAATCCTCCCCCCACCAAAAAAAGAAAAACAATATGTCAAGATCTTATGGCCTACATCCCATCGCTATGACCTATGCATGCTTAGATCATCCCGTGATTGTACTACTGCAGTGAATAATTATCATCTATCCAGCTCTTTATGGTATATGGCCTGAGTATCTAAGGACCACCTCTCTCCTCATTAGATCCAACAGAACAATGTTAGCTGATGGAACCTAGATTGCACATGATTTCCACCATGACACCTGCCTTTTGAAATATCAATCCCCATAAAAATTGGGGTGGCTCCAACTCTACAAGTTTTTATATGTATCTGAAAATCTGTTTTTTTCTCAAGCTCTAAGATATGTCCATTTACTTTGTTTACTTTTATGTTACTTTTTGCTTTTGCTTTTAGACATTGTCTATTTTAATCTATATGTCACCCAGAGTCAGTACTCAGTTTATACAATCTATTATTGTACAAACAAACACAAAAGACTCTAGCACTCTATTTCTAATATGTTGCAGTCACTGTAGGGCAATATAGTCTTGGCAAAACTAAATTCTATAATGGAGAAAGGTTTGTGCAGAATGGGACAGAGCTCACAGAATTAGCAGACCAATACTCAGTGCCCAGTTCAAGCATTTACCAGCTGTAATTTATCTTCCTACTTTGAATTCTTTATGGTATTGCACATACTGTATTCTTTCTACTTTGAAAATATGATTTCTGACTGGTTTGACTTCTAACTTTGGCTATAGAGCAGTGATGGCTAACCTTTTTGGCACCAAGTGGCCAAAGCACGTGTGTGCACACAAATGTATGCATGTGTGTGCAAACCCCCAAAATGTAATGTGCGTGCGTCCCACATGCATGTGCCCTGCCCCTGCCCCTGCATGTCACCCCTGCGCATGGATCTCACCCCTGCATGCACATACCTCACCCCTGCACATTGCCCCTATGCATGCACACCACCCTGCGCACGCATGCATGTCCCAAAGACCAGCTGGTCAGCGGGAGGCACACACACATGCGCCGCAGAGCAGAGCTGGGGTGATGGCTCGCGTACCCACAGAGAGGGCTCTGTGTGCCACTTTTGGCATGAATGCCATAGGTTCACTATCACAGCTATAGAGCCTAAGCTTAAACATGGTCCAATTATGCTAATTATTTCTTCGGCAGGAATGATTAAGCAAAACAAAGCTAGAGAATGCAAAACACTAACCAATATATTGGCTGCAATGACTTCTGGATCATCACAGACAGATTCCACAAAAAAAACCTACAAAAGAAAAAAATGATTTTATTTTATAAAATACAAAAATTCTGGAGACAGGATAAGAATTATTTTTTTCAAGAACTGTCTTTCTGCAGAAATAATTTTGCAATGCAAAATGCAATGCAATGGATGCATTGCATACCAAGATGTGGGAGGTCAAAGAAAACAGTGAGTGGGTGTCCTATCTTTATAATACTATCTTCTTTTTCTCTGTGTGTCTCTCTCTCTTTCTCTTTTCTTTCATTTCTCTCTCACCCTCTTTCCCCTCTTTTCCATCTTGCAGACTGCAAGAAAAGGGACAGATTGTATAAACTGGTTGCTTCCAAGGATTTGTGAAACTGAACCAGACTAGAAAGTGAGGATTTTCAAGTAGTATGGTGTGACCAAATGGATCTTTTTAAAATGTGATAAAAATCCAAACAATTATTGGATCCCAAAATGCTTCATTTCATTATCTGCATATTCAACTGACCAATAATTAACCATTAAAAATACACAGCAATATATTTGGAACATTTCCAAAAAATCCTATATGATCAAATTAGGGTTGCTTGCTGACTCACAGGCATAGCACAGCATGTGTTTTGGAAAAGACTGGTCAATTTTCTGCTGGAATGTGTCTTAGCTACTTTATCAAATGTAACTGAATGCTGGACATAAAATAAGCTCAATAGAAAAAAGATTGATTTCAGAAATCCACAAATGGGCTTGATTGCCTATAGCAAAAGTACCTTTTCATTTGGAAAGCAAAAGATAAATATCCATTTGCAACATCCTGGAATCTCATGATAGCCATTTGCATTTGTCTCTGACTATACTACAGCAAAGTTGCAACAAAATGTCCCCAAAGAGCTTTCTTCCAAAAAGCAACTGGATTTTTTCCTCTTCATCTCTGAAAAAGCTTCTTGGATGAGAAGTGAAACATCTTCAAGGAAAAAACAAAGTCCAAAGCTTTTTGGAAAAAAAGCACTTTTGGGACAACCGTGACCTGGATGACTGAGAATCTCCATAGACATTTTGCAACAAAATAATTACCTTATAAGAATTTTCTTTGGCAAAAGCTAAAATCATATCCCGTCTTTCTCGTGTTGTATTGGTTGCATCAAAGACCTGAACAAAAAGCAGAAAAGAGAGATGGATCATGTAAGTGACTTATAATTGCTCCCTGCACTTATGAACATCCCAGATCTTCATGGTTAAAAGATCAAAATTTAGACACATGGCTACCAGCATGTATTTATGACATTTGCAGCATCCTGAGAGTGTGTATGATTGGCATTTGGGACCTTCAGAGGGGATTTCTGACAAGCAAAGTCAATATGGGAAGCTGGATTTACAAAACCAATGTGGTGATTCACTTAACAACTGCACAGAAAAGGCCATAAAATCAGGTGCAAGTCATATAATAATTGGATTGATTAGTGATAGAAGTTCTGGTTCCAATTGCACTCATAAGTTGAGGACTCTCTGCATGCCTGCAAGGAGAGAGAATTCCACAATTAAGTCTGGCTTCAGCATCTGGCATACCTGGTCTATTCCAGGTCTTACCACCCCGGCAAAGCCATGGTTGATGCCTGGCCAACACTTCTTTAAAAAAATAGGTGTAGTGCTCTAAGAAACTCTTCTGGATCCTTCAGATGTTGCTGAATTATAAATCAGCCAGAGAGGCCAAAGTTGAGGGTGCTGGGAGTTATAATTTAACAGTATCTGGAAAGCCAGATTCCCCATCCTTGCAGCATTACCTCCCAATAACCAGGTGTGCACTTACAGCAATCTGGCCAGCCTCTTCCATGAAATAAACTTTCACATCTTCAAGGGCCACCAAGGCACACTGTCTGCAAAAAATGAGGGAAGGAAGGGGAGGAGGGAGGGAGTAATGAGTACTCAGACCATCCAAAGTAATCAATTAGTTTCATTGTTATAATTTCATCTTGCCCATGCACAACACTATTGAAGTTAAGATTCAGGTAACCCTGTCAAAACACAAATAGGGTCAGTTAAATTTCTAAACTGTCTAATTCACAATTTAAAGACTATTCATCATGGACATAAAGAAACCTTAACCATGAACAGTAAAGAAAATAATTTATGCCATCTAGTGGTGAAAGCAAGCAATTGGTAATCTAAAGTAACAAAGTATTGTATATTTTATTTATTTTTTCTTTATTTTATTTGGTTTGTCAATTGCTTACAAGATAATAGGTATAAGTAAAAACATAGTTATGAATACATGGATACATATAAGAAAAATAAAAGAAACAATAGGACAGGGACAGTAGGCACGTTGGTGCGCTTATCAACGCCCCTTACAGACCTCTTCGGAAAGGGGTGAGGTCAATAGTAGACAGTCTAAGGTTAAAGTTTTTGGGGTTTGGGGAAGAAACCACAGAGTCAGGTAGAGTATTCCAGACATTGATCACTCTGTTGCTGAAGTCGTATTTCCTGCAATCAAGTTTGGTGCGATTAACCTTGAGTTTGTATCTATTGTTTCCTCTTGCTCTGTTATGGTTGAAACTAAAGTATTCACTGACTGGTAGAACATTGCAATGTATGATTTTATACATTATACTTAGATCAGACTGAAGGCGGCATAGTTCTAAGTTTTCTAGGTCTAGAATTTCAAGCATGGTGGCATAAGGTATTCTGCAATGAGTAGAGGAGTGGAGAACTCTTCTTTTGAAATATTTCTGGACTTTCTCAACTGCGTTAATATCAGATATGTAATGTGGGTTCCAGACTGATGAGCTGTATTCGAGTATTGGTCTAGCAAATGTTTTGTATGCTCTAGTTAGTAGTGTACCAGAGAAAAAGCTACATAAGATTAGGTTAACAACTCTTAATGCCTTTTTGGCTATGCAGTTACAGTGGGCTTTAGCACTTAGATCATTAAAGATGAGTACTCCAAGGTCCTTGACAGAGTTTGGATCATCAACAAGGTCTTGACTATTCAGCCTGTATTTTATTTTCTGATTTTTTTGCCAATATGTAAGACAGAGCATTTATTTGTTGAGATTTGAAGTTGCCATTTGTTTGACCATTCTGATACATAGTCAAAGTCTTTTTGAAGGGTAGCAGTATTGTCTGTGGTGTTGAATAGCTTTACGTCGTCGGCAAAGAGAATATAAATTGTGAGGGGGAAAAACAAATTAAGCTATGCTTAATATTAAAAATGCATAGCAATGAATAAGCAAGAAAGAGGTTGAGAGATAGGATTAACCCAAATATCATATGCATATATGCAAGTTTTAAAAATCTTCACAATCTATCAGCATCAGCAGGTGAATGTGAAACATGCCAGATATTATGTTTAGGAGCAGCAGCTTTTATAAGATGTGATTCAATCTTTTATAAGATTGAAGAAGTCTTTCTCTAACATTGCATCTAATAAAGATATTAAGGAGAGCCAGTTTGGTTACTGATTAAGGCACTAGGCTAGAAACTGGGAGACCTTGCATTCTAGTCTTGCTTTAGACGCAAAGCCAGCTGGGAGATCTTGAGAGAGTCACTCTCTCTCCACCCAACTTACCTCACAGGGTTGTGGTTGTAAAAAAAATGGGATGAGGAAAGTGTGTTGGATATGTTCACTGCCTTAGGTTATTTGTAAAAATAATAAAGGTGGGATACAAATTAAATAAATAAAATAGGCATTAATCAGTTATGCTGACAACAAGGGTAGGACTTTGAAATAGGAAGACCACTTCTTAGAAACCACATCCCTTGACATCATTCATTTCCTCTTTGCTTCCCAGTTTCCTCCAAAGAGATAAAAGTACGTGGGAAACTCCATTATTTTGCCCTTGGATGGCTCTTCACTTTTGAAGACAAGAGGCCAAATCTAGTGACACAGTTGAAGAACAGCTATGGCTGACAACTGGACGAGAGTCAGATGTTCAAGGAGGAGGAGGAAGGACTTTGGTCTGCAGCAGTGGTGGGATTCAATTTTTTTTACTACTGGTTGTGTGGGCATGGCTTGGTGGGTGTGGCAAGGGAAGGATAGTGTAAAATCTCTAGTCAGAGGTGGTATTTGTCGGTTCTCCAAACTACTCAGAATTTGTGCTACCTGTTCTCCAGAACTGGTCAGAACCTACTGAATACCACCTCTGGTCTGCAGGCTAGAGTCCAAAGCATTTCAGGCTGCCTATTTTTCAGCTGAAGACAATAATTTATTACCACCTGAATTTTGCACTTTGAAATGCCAACTACGCTAGGCCGTGCCATGCCATGCCATGCCATGCCATCTCTCCCACTCCCCCTCTCTCTTACACACACACACAAACAGAAACTGTCACATTTTCTGGCAGTGAGAACAATTGATTTAGTAGGATGGATTTCCTGCAGAAGTTGTGGATGCTCCATCACTACAGGTTTTTAAGAAGAGACAGGACATCAATTTGTTCAAGATGTATAGGTTCTCCTGCTAGAGCAGGGGTTTGGACTAGAAAACTTCCAATGTCCTATGTGTTAGGTTTAACACTGCCTCCAAAGAATTAAAGTCAAATTAAGATTTCTTCAGACAAAGCAAGTTTAAATCATTCCCTAACATGACATAACTATATCAGCATAATACACAACAAGAGTAGACGATGGTCCATGGAAGGTTGTGCTGTGATAAACATTTCAGTTTAATTCAGTTTAAATCAACCATTCTTTTTCTGCAGCAAGCCACCAGCCTCTAGAAATACATGAGCTCATCATTTCTGGCCTAAACTGATTAGGAGATGTTGATTTATGGTAGTAGTTTGAATCAGATCTAGCGGTCCCACTTGGCTTGGAACTGCACAAACCTTTTCATTATGGCTTTCTATATTACCACACTCCACTTGCTTTCTCTCTTTGCTGAAACAGGATGTTTTGTAACACACCCAAGTTTCTGCTTGTCTGTGCTGTACAGTAATTGGATAGATTGCAATGCTTGCAGATTTCTGTATCTAAAAGTTACCAGCAAGCACAGAGCTTTTAAGAATGTGAAAGGCCAGGGAAGAAAACATTCCTTTGAACTCTTCCCACCCCACTTTCTTCTTTCTGCAGTCTAAGACAATGTCTCCATTATTTTTTGTTTGTTTTGAAATCAACAACAAACTTTCCTTATATTTTAAGTGAGATATAAGTCTCAAGTTCTCAAGTTCTGCCATAAATAAAAAAATGAAGTATTTGAAATATTAAGTACTATGTCAGATGCACCTCCCCACTTTTTTTTCTTGGCCCTATTAGCAATGGAACCTATTCATCTCTGAACTGTGAGGCTGGAGGACTTCCCCAGAGCTGTATCTGGAGGAAACACTAAAATGAAGAATACAATCTGTAACTTTATTTGTGTTGCTATCATGTTGTTGAAGTATGGTTGCTTGTTAAGTTGAAAAGCTACTCCCAAAACAACTTCCAGTCTATGGAGATTCTCAGTCTTCCAGGTCATGGTTGTTCCATGGGGTTTTTTTTTTGAAGATGTTCTCATTGATGAGAAGCGAAATGTCTTCAAAGAAAAACCAGAAAGTCCAGTTGCCTCTTGAAAAAAAAATACATTTGGGACAACTAAGAGCCAGGTTTTTCTGAGTAAGACTCAAATTTAACCCAGAGGTTCTCAACCTTTGCAATACAAATATTCTTCAACATATATCCACAACTGGGGCCAGAATTTTGGTCACTGAGTGACGCAGTAGTTAACAGAGTCATCATATGACTGGACTGGATCCAATTTGATAACCATTTTTACTGCAGCTGTTAAATGAAACACTTGGTTGCTAAGTGAATCATACAATCATTAAGCAAATCTGGCTTTCCCAATTGACCTTGCTTATTGGAAGTCTACTGGGAAGATCACAAATCACAATCACTTAACCCTAAGATGCTGCAACAGTTATAAATGCGAGTCAGTTGGTAAGTACTCAAATTGCAATTATGTGAATGTGGGGGGGTGGCACAACTATCGTAACTTTGAGGACAGGTTTTTGTTTTTTCCAAAAGTCACTTTTTCCAAAGCCATCATAACTTCAATCTACCGTTAAATGAACAACTGTAAGTTAAGAAATACCTGGACTGTAATCTCCTAAAATGATAAATATATTTCCTGATTCTAAATAATAAATCATGAAACTAAATAATAAATCATAAAACTAAATAATAAATAATACTGTTCAGGTTGGTATCTGATTTATTAATAACATTTTAATATACCAACTCTACATAAACTTACAGTAGTTTTTAAAACACTCCATAGTTCATAAAGACAATAAAGCAAACCCACACCTCCTAACCCCCTTCCTCCTCATCCATTAAAAGCTCCACAGCTTTAACTTTCCCTTGGCAGGGAAGATGCCATTTGGATCTCCACAAGTAGGCTGTTCCATTATCCTGAAACATATATTATTTCTTCCCAACCATACCATCTCATATAAGAGATGCTACCAAGAAGCCCATTTGGGACAATTAAAATGATTCCACCTGAAATAAGGGGATTCTGCCTTTCAATTGTGCTCAGAAGTCTTTTGGTAGCTAATACAACATCTGTGGTACACCAGGCTTGCTCACTGCTTCCTCTGTACACAGAGAGTGAGTGTCAGTTTTGGTGCTATGAGTTTTGGATAGTACACAAACCTGCTTAGCTTTAAATAAAATTTGTGACTCTTCCCAACTTTGCTTTTGACTGTCAGTTCTTCAGATCATGATCTACATTTAGAAAACCCCGAATTAATCTAAAAAAGAATAGCCTCTAAATACTGAATACAAAATACTGAATCCTAAATACTGATTCACTGAAGCTATATTTTTCAAATTGTCTACTTTTTCTACATATTTTATTCTCCTCTGGGTTCAGAATATTCCATTGTCCCTATAAGGAGGTGCTTTTCTCAAAAAGGAAGGAGAGAAGGAAGCAAAATAATTTACTACTTATGTTTCTAAGCCTAGCTATAAAGCCTTCACTCAAAGAATTAAAATCTGTTATTCATCAAATGCAAAATACTGTATTTAATCAAACTATTTTTGACCTATTAGTATAAGCCACCTAAATAAATTTTAAAAAATTCTTCTGAAAATTTGTTTCATAACATAAGCTTTTCAAACTTGAAATTTCATGCTAACAAAATAACACATCTATAACTAAGTATAAATAAATAAAAATGGTACTAAGAAAGTTTACTGTTAGTTGGAAGCACTAAATTTAAAGCAGAGTAAAGAAATATATTTTACATAGGAATGGTAAGACTTTTTTAAATCAATGATTTCATCAATGTTTGAAATTTTCTTCTCTTTTGCTGAAATATTTTTCTTTTATCCCTTATTTTAGGAGACTTTTTTCTTTTAAACCCTTTGCTTTGTTTTTTCAAAAAAATCAAAGATTTAGAAATTAAAATAATTGCGCAAACTTGTCCCCATTTACTTACAATATTCAGTAGAGCTATCATTAGGAAAGTGAGCACTTTCATCAAGTTTTGAGATTATCTTAGTGAATTCTATAATTAACAATATGAGTTCAAGCATATTTATTATTTAGAAAACACTTAATATGTAGTTAATGTTAACTTACTTTCTAATCCTCATGGCTTCTTCATTATCATGTCTGAAGAAATCATATGATTTATATGATTTAACTGCTTCACGACGATAAACCCCTAAATTAAAAACTTTTTAAAAATCATGAAATTTAGTTAGTAATTTAGTTAGTAAAGTTCCATAGTAAGTACGGTATTATCTCATTGAGCAAATATATTCATTACACAACTTGTTCAATGTACTATATTGCACCAATAAAATACATATATTTAAAAAAAAACTATATGCATTAAGCAAATGTCTGCACTATAATTATTCCCATTTAGGTGTCATTAATTTAATTTACAGTAAAAAGTTACCATATTACTTAATTTGTGCAAGCATAACTTTGTAGCATATTTCACAGAATATTTAATTTCAGTGCATCTCAAATGAACCTAAAAATAAGAGTATAGCTTTGCCAATAACAATGTAGAAATGCTCTTAATCTGTTCAGTGGAAAGAACATTAACGTTGGAATTGGAAACCTGAATTCATTTTCTCAAGAATTCATTGTGGGTCCTTAACCATAACATACAAATTCTCAATTTACAACAGCTCATTTAGTAACTGTTAAAAGTTACAATGGCACTGAAAAAAGTGATTTATGATTATTTTTCACACTTATGACTGCTGCCATATCCCCGTGGTCACGTGATCAACACTTAGATGTTTGGCAACTGTTTATGGTCACGTGATCCCAAGCAAAGCCAATGGGAAGCAGAAACACTTAACAGCCATGCTGTTAACTTAGCAACCTCAATGATTCACTTAACAATGCAGCAAGAAAGATCATAAAATGGGGCAAAACTCACTTAACAACTGTCTCACTTAGAAACAAAAAATTGAGGCTCAATTGTGGTTGTAAGTCGAGGACTACCAGTAGTATGAATTTCAGTTCCACATTAACAAAATGGACAGAGTGATTATTCAAGCCTCACTGTAAAGGGCATGATGCTGGAAAAATCAGTATTTAAAGTTGTTTGATTTCAAGGGGAGAAAATAAAATTGTTTAGCTTGATTCATAAAATGTGCTATATTTTAAAATGTAATTCTGATAAAAAGTGTGCTTTAAATTTTAGCTCATTTTATATGTAAAACCTATCTATCCTGTCAATCTGAACCTGTAGGATTCCAATTAAGCAACAAAATCTGAAAAGGCTTACTATGTTCTGCAGCGGTACTCTGCAGTGAATGAAATGTGCATTATTCATCTTAAACTAAAGGCCAATGACTATAAAATAAGAATTAATTTGGTATTCTAACTGCTAATTATTTATATCCTCTCCCCCCCTTTGCTTCTAGAACTATATTTGGTGAACAAGATTAACATTTCATCTGCTAAAATAACTAATGCTGTATTATCTGAACATAATTCATATTGTGTTTGTTAGAATATGAAAAAGAAGCAAATTAATCTTGATTTCTCTAAATTTTGGACTAGCTGCTTTGTCAGCTTCCTATAGATATATAGCTTATCCAGTTGTATACTAAAGATAGAACCAGATTTTTTAATTAATTCAATCAATATATTATAAATGACAAGAGTAATAATAACAATAATCTTCAGGAACCTTTTGTAGGCACTCCAATCCAGTTGAGGTAGCGAGTTAATTTCTTAGATACATAAGTCTTGCCTCTTGCAGGAAGACCAATCATTACAATCAGAGTTGGTGAGTTAGTCATATAAGAGGCCCATGCTATAAAAAAGGAGAAACAAATCAATAGTTTCTAAAAGTTGAAAAATAAAAAAAACATTCTTGAAAATTTTCACATTCAATTTTCTGTCCATACTTCAGGATATTATGTTCCTTTCCCAGAATCAATCAATGAACTGTGGCATTATGGTCTCCAATAGTTGATAATTAATGCAGCAAATAAAAATGGCCAATAACAAAGGGCTTCAAATTGGATATATTTTTCCTTGAAATATTTTCCAATTAAAGAAAAATTTATATTTCCTGAAAATATAAATATGGAAAACTGAACTAATATTTTATTTTCCTTAGGCTGATATTAAACTAATTTTTATTACAGGTCCCTTAGAGAAATATATAGTTTAAGACAGTGTTGAGTCATGTTTTGCTAGAGGGTGGCCATAAAGATGTGTTTAATAAATGAAAAAAATAAAAGATATGCAATTGGTTTATAGGGTGGTGTGATGGCGGTGGTACAGACACTGGGCTTGGCTTGTCAGTTGGAAAGCCGACAGTCCAGGTTCAAGACCTAAGTATTGTGAGCTCCTGTGCTCACTCCAGCTCTTGCCAAACCAGCAGTTCAAAAGCATGAAAATGCGAATAGATAAGTAGTTACCACTTTGGTGGGAAGGTAACAATGCTCCGTGAGGTGATGCTGGCCACATGACCATGGAAAATCTTCAGACAGCACTGGCTCAGCGGCCTTTGAAACAGAGATGAGCACCAGATCCTACAGTTGGAAATGGCTAGTGGAATAAATCCACAGGGGGGCCTTTTGTAAAAATTTGGTTTACACATTCATAAACACATGGAAAGAGACAATAGTTGGTGGAAAATTGTTTACATTGTCTTGATTTTTATTTCTTACCCTTTAGTGTGTTTTGCATAATGTTGCTTAACCCAAAATGAATAATGTGATGGTATGTGCGTATGTAAAAGATACTTGCGACTTTCAGTATGTACTTTGTTATGTCCAGTAGAGTAGGGATCAAGAGAGCATGATTACAGATATGCAACAGACACATAGTATGGATATTCTTCCAAACATTGCAGGCTCCACTGAATAATATAAGGCAAAACTGTATGACATGTGTAGATACCTATACATATTATTGCATAGGGTCAGACATTCACTAACATCTCTTTTTTTTAATCTTTCTATTACCAAATCACCTCTTTTTGCAGCCCAACAAGAAATTTAAACTGATAATTTGCTGAGAGTAAGTCAAAAGCTGAATTGCCCATTCTTGCTGAAGTTCAGGGGGAACTAAATCACATGGGTGCTGACATTTTACCAAGATAATATGGTTAAATCCATTTCTGACTAAAATCTAAAGCTGCTTTACTGGTTTCTAAAGTTCATCTGGCCTCTCAAAATAAGGCACTGCCTGTAAGCTTGTTTTATACATTCTTTTGTAAATAGCAATTACTTTCCCTAGCAACATTTTTACCAAGTTTAAAGACATTGGACTGTAAAAAAAAATTAGATACATTAGATTGTGAGCTTCATCAAAGCCAGAATGAAAGTTTCAAGAAAGGAAATCTTGTTGGGAAATTTGTCTTCCTTTCACTCATGTTCAGCAAAGTAACTTCCCCATCCCCAGTGTAAAAAAAACCCAACAGCAGGCTAATAAAATGAACAAAGAACTGTCAGAAACAACAGGTTTATTGAAGGCTTATTTGGAGGATTTAGATGAACCAAATTTAGTTTTAGTGCTACAGTTCTAAAATATTAAAGACAATAGGAAACTATCTAGCCACAAGTAACCAATTGAAAAAGAGGAATACAGCTTAGCTGAAATGGATGCTTTGTTGAAAAATGAAATGTTTCTAATTTCAGCCTTCAAAATACTAAAAGAGTAACAATAAAAGCCAAATCTTACAAAAAAGATATGATATTCACCAGCAGATATGATATTCTCAGTGACGTGCAGCATGATGGAGATTGTGCAACAGGACACAATACAAGCATTTAGTAATTAAGAATTATACTATATTCCAGAAAAGAAATAAGTCTCTTCCCTTAAAAATCAAAATGAAAGACAAATTATAGATTTGGAAAATAGATCTGGAAGCTGATGAATGGGGAAAGGAAAGAAGGTAAAAGGAGCAGAAGAAGAATAGAGGTCCTTATCCTAATCTATTTGCTTTGTAACCAGAAAATAGGAAAGAAGCAAAAAACTGCTTTTTTTGGAGGGTAAGAGGAAAGCATTTATTTCACTGGTGCTGGAGGAATGGAACATTTATTTTCACAATTGGAAGTGTTGGCATCAAGGAGAAAAGATCAAACACAGCCCAAGTAAAAAAAAAATCAGACAGTCATTCTCCATATTGCTTTGCTACTCAAATGTCAAATAAGATAGGATTCTTGAAATAAAAAAAAAGCCAGTGGCATTTAAATTCTTTGAAGAAGAGCATCCAACATGTAACTTAGTTAAACTATTGCTCTCCTAGCAAAAATAAATGGATACTAACCAGTAAAACTATTTCCAACAACTGACATATAAAGTAAAAACACCCCAAAACACTGAAAAAAATCTACCAATAACAGATGTGAGCATTTCATCTAATTGCAAGACAGCTATGTGTCTGGTTTACAAGATAGTTAACTGAAGACATCCTGCCTGACATTAGCTGGGTTTGATAAACTGTATAATAAATCAGCATGATTTATTTGTATCCAGCACATTACTTCTTCCCTAGCTTTTTCCAATGGATTTTTTTTTTGCAATTGAGATATATTAAAATCCTGAAAAATCTACATTAAAATATCCTAAAGCTGAGGCTATTCATATTTTTTTCATCAAAATATTGTGCATTTATCACAACCATTAAAAATCTCCGGGACACTTAAGCCTTGTCAAACATTCTAAAGGAGCACAACTCTTCAAATTGGGGAGAAACTACTTCCACAGACATGCAGATTCAAAAGTAAATATTTTCCATTCTGTTTCCACTTTGCTATTCTTCAAAATGGTACTAGTAAATTTACCATTAATCTAGTAACATCTCCTTCTTTCATAGCATACCCAAGTAGCCTGTAAATGTGTGCTGCTTTCAGTCAGTTTTTGACTTCTGATGACTGCCTGCATTAGTCCCTGCAATTTTCTTGGCAAGTTTATTTTTCCAGATGTGGTTTGCCATCACCTGCTCCCTAAGGTTCAATGAGAATGACTGTCTGAAAGTCATCCAGTTGGCTTCATTCTAGATCTAAGGCAGGACTACAACTCACGGTCTCCTGGTTTTTAGCCTGGTGCCTTAACCACCAAACTGGCTCTCCACCTAGCAGCCTACATGAATCTTATCTCACTTATGATGTTTTTCATTCTTAGATTAACCCCATGATCTTAAATGAATGATTATCTTGAACGTCGTTCAATGGGAGCCCCAATCTATATGTGGATTCAAACCAGGATCTCCCAATTTTAAGACAGCAAACCTTTATTCTGAACAAACATTTTGTAAAATAGAAAGCATCGAGACCAAAGGTTTTGGACACAACCAGGATTTAAATATGACAGGTAGTGTAGTCTCAGATATCAATAGTTTTGTTTCAAAAAAGAAATCACCCCTCTGTTCGAGACTGTGATCAAAATGATCCTAAGTGAATCTTTTTTCCTTCGAAAAAATATCACAAAGCAATCACAAATACTCACAACACTTCTTCTCCGAAACCCGCAGATTTGAAGGCTTGCTTTCTTGGCTGTAACTGTTACCATTTATATTCTCTGGGATGGCAACAGCATCTGCTGACATTGCTGCAAGGCACACAATTCCTCAGTTTTGGATCACCAAATTCCTTCTAAGGACACATATGGGGTGGGGGGGAGGTTGTGAAGTGTGAATTATTTTCTAGAGAGAAAAGAAATAATAGGCATAGTCTACTCTATGAGGTTCCTTCTTGCTGGGATTCCCACCCCCACCCCCCCGGAAAAAAAAGAACCTATACAAAAGTTCTTGGTCAAGGTCAACACAAGAGATAATTTTCTATTAATTATAATTTTCCCACACGGCAAAATATAATCTTGCATGAATATCAATATGATGAAAAAAACTTAAATACGAACAACGTAGTCCTCAAAGGGAAGAAATAACGATGCCCTACATCTTCGTTTTGAACCTTATTCTCTTGGAGTGGGAGTCTCCCCATCAAACTCGGCACGATGCCACGCAACTACTGAGCAAGATCGCCGCCCACCCTTCGGTCCCCGGCTCCGGTCCTTTCTCCCTTGCGGTCTTTGCAGGCATACCCGCGAAATTCAGCACGCCCGCGCCGGGGACAGCAAGGCCAGAGTCCTGGGCGGGCGAGCGGAGCCGATCCAGTCCGCAAGAGAACCTTCCCGGGAGCGCAGCCAAGCCACGGCCAGGTACCCGGGCGCAGGTGACTTTGTCCCCTCCCAGGCGGTGGGCGGGCAGAAGGGTGGCAATTCTTCGGAGATGCGGCTATGCCAAGCGGCGTGAAGGCCAAGCAGAACAATGCCGGATGCGCCAAGACAAGTGACGCAAAAGAACTCCGAAAAGAGGGAAATATTTCTATTTCAGTGGGAACCGGATTCATACCTGTATTCGAGGCTGCGTGAATGCAGATTGCAAATGTATCTTTTCAAGGGAAACACTATGCAGAAGAAACCAATTCCCTACCCCTCGCACAAGATTTAAACACACAGGTATGTATATGTGTTGTATACATGTATGCATGTATGTATGTATGTATATGTGCATGTCACGTATTGGAGTTTCTTCACTATGCGACACTAACGTCCTTCGATAATATTCGCTTCCTAGTTTGAACTCAAAAAGCAATCCGTGGAGACAGTAGGCAAATGGGGGACAGGTGTTCACATTCATGAATGCTTAGAACGAAAGTCAAAGCGAAATTATTCCGTTGCTCTTGGAAAGGAGACCACCAGAAAACCCAAAACGGTCAGACTAGGCTGGGGAAGTTAAGAAAACACTCCGGAAGAAGGCAATTCTGAATTACTTCCGTACTGTTGCCAAGACAAATGTACCGACACGTCCCTGCAGCCGCCAGAAGTTAAGAGTCATTGAAGGACGTTTTAGTTTTACACATGCGCAAAGAGGCGCTTCAGCAATAGCTGCAGTGACTGAAACCTAAAGCTTCAAGAAAGTGGGCGGGCAAAGACGGAGCCTGGATTGCGTCACATTTGTCAGCACTAACGTCAGTTTTCTGCGCAAGCGTACTGACAAAAAGCGGCACGGACGGATGTTTATCCTGATCCTGCGGTGAGAGTCCTTCCGCGATTCTGATTGGCCTATCGGGCAATTGTGCATGCCAGGAAGATGTAGAAGCGACCAATAAGGAAGCCCAAAGGGAAGGGCTACTGGGGTTGCCTGGATGCCGGGAGTTGCAGCCATTTTTGCTGCGGGGAGGCGGGGTGCTGTTAAATGAAGCCCGGCCGCCCTCGGCAAGAGTACTACGGATCGGGCGGCGATCATGTTGCGGCTCCGTTGTAAAGCGCGGAGTGGGTCCTTTCCGCTTCCCGGCCTGACGGCACATTCCCGTCTACACGAACTCCAGGCCGTGATCGCTGCCCTCACCGGTGTCCCCACCCAGGCCCAGCGCCTGCTGCTCGGCTTCCCCCCTTCGTGCCTCGACCTCAGTGATGGAGAGCAGCGCCTCGGAGAGCTGGGCATTCATTCGGGTAAGCGGAAGGGTCTTGCCTGGCTGGGCCCTTAGGCCGTTCCCGCTGAAAGTTGGGTCCCCCCCATCCCCATTCCCATCAAGAGGTGCCTCTCTACAGTTAGTGGGGAGATCTGAAAATGGCTTCCAGTCCTGCTCGGCGGCTGTTGTGCTTTTTGGGATTCGAACCAGGAATCAGCCCGCCACTCAAAAAGGCAACAATCCTGGGATGAAATCTTTTCAGTCCAGGTCATTTTATTCGGTGTTTTCTGAATGAAGGTCATGAATGGTGAATTTTTAATAAAAAAGGAAGAAAAATGTTGAATACATAGAAGAGAAGCTGCTTTTAGCCTGTAGAAATCTGGTTTCGTTGTTTATGCTAGGATGCAGTTGATAGGTATTGAATGCAGGATCATGGCTGGTAAGAATTGAAATCAAATATCTTTTCTCCTAGAAAAAAAAAATAGATATCCTGCTTGGTAGTAATCCTCTTTTTTACAGATATATTTAAAGATGTGCTCCGCAAGAAGAAAATTTATCTTTAAGATTGCATATTTTCTCTTTGTCAGAACAGGAAATTGCAAAGCCATGACACCAATGTTTTGACATCTTATACTTGTCTACATTGGGTAGCACCCATCAATTATATTTCACAGTTTTGCTCTTGTATGAAGCAGAGCTTCCCTGTCTTTGGAAAACAAGAGGATTGCTATAACTTGTAGTCTTCTGCATCTTTCTAATACATGTGAAATTTTTCATATGGAAAATATTGAGATGAACTCAATAGAATTTTTGCGTTATAAAATAGAAATTTGTGTTATAAAATTCTGTAAGATATATTCACAATACATCTATTGGTTACAGAAGAAATATATAAGAATTTACTCATTAGATTTTTTTTTCTCCTTCTGGAATCCTTATAAAGACATTTTCTATTGCTTGCCTCCCAACTATCTTTAATGTTAATGATTGCACCTGAATTACATCTAGTTCCAAGTATGGGAACTCCTATCTTGGGCAAGGGTTAGACTAGTCAATCTCCAAGATCTCTTCCAACCCTATGATTCTATGATAGCCATACATGGATAACTTCAATGAGGAGTGAAATACTTCATATCATTACAGTAATCACTGCAGCAAAAGGAATATTATAGCCATGTGACATACTGAAGGAGAGGTACCTGAAAGAACCATGGTAGAATCATAATATAATGTTATTGCTTTGTTCTATTTTATCTCGACAGGTGATACTCTAATAGTTGAAGAAGATGCAACCAAGCCCAAGACTGATTCATCTATAGTTACAAAGCGGACTGTTTCTAATTCAGTTAGAGAAGCTGTACCTGTGCTTGCCCGAAAGGTTGTTCCAGCTGACAACTCATGTCTTTTTACCAGCATATATTATGTAGTAGAAGGTGGGGTTTATGAACCAGGCTGTGCCCCAGAAATGAGAAATCTCATTGCCCAAATTGTAGCAAGTGACTTGGAATCCTATAGTGAGGCAGTCCTAGGAAAAAGTAATCAGGAATACTGTGACTGGATCAGAAGAGAAGATACATGGGGAGGTGCAATTGAGGTTTCTATTTTGTCTAAATTCTATCAATGTGAAATTTGTGTAGTTGATACCCAGACAGTCAGAATTGATCGTTTTGGGGAAGATGTTGGCTATGCTAAACGGGTGCTTTTAATTTATGATGGTATTCACTATGATCCACTTGAGCGTAAAATCCCCAACTCAGACATTCCTCCCCAGACAATTTTTTCCACAACTGATGACGTTGTCCTTGCACAGGCTTTGGAATTAGCAGATGAAGCCAGAAGAAAAAGACAGTTTACTGATGTAAATCGCTTTACACTGAGATGTATGGTTTGTCAGAAAGGATTAACAGGACAAGTGGAAGCCAGAGAACATGCCAAGGAGACGGGACACACCAATTTTGGAGAAGTGTGAATTTTCTGTGAGGTTGGTCATGTTTACTACCTCACTGATCCAGAACAAGCCTCCCAATTTTTAAATAAGCTATATGTAATGTTACAGATTCATTCAAAGTTTGAAAGCCCTAAGTTTAATTATGGCTGATATGCACAGGGTTGCAGTTGATAGTGTAAAATGTTTACAAGAGTGCATGCAGTGGTGTCATATTTTCCAAGGATCTTGGAGTATTCTTTGCACAACTGAGAACTAGAGATAGCAAAATAGCAACTGATACCAACAAGTGTATCAACTCTTGAAAAAAAGTCTTGAGCAGCTGCTGAAGAAATTCCTCTAACACAACTGAATATATACATTGCTGTAGCTAGCTAGGCCTGCATCAAGGACTTTAGAATCACTGGTGAAATAAAAATCTCCGCTCCATTACTGGATTTTTGATTCTGGAATCTATGAAATAGTTAAGCTGGTTCCATTCATATCTGGCAAAATTATTTGCGTCTCAGTTTTGTTCATGTGAAATGTGTATGTTTTTGTAACTTAAAGCAGTAATCCCAAAGCTATCTTATTTGAAATTGCTGATTTGGAAAACTGTAAAAATAAGGAATGCTAGTTACATTTTCAGCAGTCTTAGAAAGTAAAGTTACTAATAAGTTTGGATAATTCCATAGTGCCTAATATACCAGTATACATTAATTATATTTTTAAAAGGTGTGATCTGTTGGGGTGTTAATATGTATAAATTATAGGGACTTCAAAATTATAAGAAACTCAGCAATATGAATTAGTGTATTCATATAGATAAATAATATATTGCAGCTATAATATTTCAAGGGGAGGGTGTTTCATGACATTAGATTGTTAAATTTAATGTCAAACCTTAGGGGCAGAGGTATGTTTCCAAATTCTCCACTTTTCTAAGTATAGCAGTGTCCCTGATAACTCAAATTATTCTCCTTGAAAGTAGTATATCATAGAGAAAACCTTCAGATGTGGATACATTGGAGGTAGGGGAAAGGAGGAGAAGGTAATTGCCAACTGGGCTGGATGTTAAAAGCAAAACTTAGTGAGCTGCATCCAAAATCACAAAGTGTTGGCTGTTGGAAACCATTGTACTCTGATCTAACACTTGATTTGTTTCACAACTTAAGTGCACACATCCTTTCACTGTTGTAGCTCTTAACTGAACTCATTCACTATTGTAAGCCTTATAAGTGTGTGTGTATGTTGCATACCTACACACAAATGCTATTTGCTAATACATGTTTTATGAATAATACGGTTTGCATGTGGTAGAAAAGCTATACTTAATCTGGAGGGGTTTTGTAGGCAGTAGAAAATGTATTGGGGATTATCTGAATTAAAATAATTTACAAATAAATTTATAAGGAAAGGATTTAGCATTTGAGAGAAAAGAAAATTAAAATGTGAGATTGTAATGAAGTGTGATCAGAACTGGTTTAATGCATGCTGACTTAGAAATAATTCAAATTATCAGAAAATAGAAGTGGTTTAGCAATTTTAGTTGCCATCAATGAAATAGGCATTAGGAAATGAGTAATTTGGATCTAAACATTTAATATTTCTTGGCACCAAAGGATATACTTGTACCTTTTTAGGTCCCAAATGTATGTATGGTTAATTGACTTTTGCATTTATTTTTAATGTAACATGATCTTTAAAATTTCAAGCAATCATAGGTTGTGTAACAAATCTTGACGAAGTTATGCTTTAGTGCAAGGATCTGCAACTTTGTGGGGATTAGGGATATATTTGGAATCTTGAGAACCAAGAATATATTTGCAAAATGGCTGCCAGGGAAGGTTTCTCCAATTTACAAAATGAATTTACAAAAGTAGTGGACTTCCAGGAAAGTCTGTTACAACTACACTGGCTAGTTTAGAGATATTAAGGATAACTCAGTTAAGACTAATAAAGTGGTATTTTTGCCAAAAGCCTTAAATGAAACAACTGCAATTATACTTGTTACAGTATAGGAAAATGTTACCAACCTCACTAAGCTGCATGCTTTTATTGGCCCAAAAGACTGTTAGACAAGAATATTATAGTACGGTAATTTATTTAAAGTTCTGCTTTAAATAATGAGAATCAAAAGTATAGGAAACCATTTTACAATTAATATTGGTACTGATCTCTTTAAAGTCTTAGATCAGATTAGTTGATCTTCAAATCCTGTATATATTTGGATATAAGTAGACACTGGAGATTGTTACTATCAGAGATATGCACACACAACTATAACCCTATTCAAGAATTTTTTATGGCTTAATTGCCAAATATGGTTTGTAAAATAGGGTGTAATTATATAAAACATGGATGCGTAATATATTAAGCATTTAATCTGTAACCATATATCTACATATACTTGGAAAACATGATTAAAATTAATAAGACTTAGAGGAAGAAAAGATATATTCCGAGACTTGAATATAGTAATACGCTAAGGCCTTTAAACCTCGTGGTTTGGGAGGAGGAATCATATTTGTTCACAGACTAGCTGAGATTACATTGAAACCTAGATTCTGTATTAATCTCATTTTGTTTGCTGTAGAATTGATTACATGCACCTATCAAAGGTGATGAGAAACTGATTTGTTTATATTCCATTTAAGCAAAGGTGCTAAGGGAAACTTATTTTGTATATTGTGTTCTATTAAATATTTTTAATTTTAAGAGTATGTACTTTTTGCATTTTTGCTTTAAGGTTTGTCTGGAGACATGGGTTTAAATCACACTAGCTCACTGTATCTTATTAAGTAAAATTTAAGTATTCCTTTACCATCAGTATTATAACTTTTAATATTTAAAATGCAGCATGTTACTTTTTATTGAACTATTATCATAAATATGTTTCTCTACAGATGCACACATAAAGATCATTAGTTGCATGGAAATGCATTCAAGAATTCAATGTTTATATAAAATAAATCCTTGGTGGATTTAGAAAAACTAAATGTAATCTGACATGTTTCATCTAAATAGTGGTTACCTGAAAGCTTGTAAATTTGGACACTACAGAATATTATTTCCTTTTATTTAAATATTGTAAGTATGAAGATGGTATCATATTTTGGTACCAGATTTGGATTATTTTTTTTATTTTTCATAGCTATAAAAGAAAATCTTAAGCTGGTAAACATAATTTGCGGTAATGGGTTGTAATAGTTAAACATTATGGTTTTCTTTCCTATTATAATGGCTACAAAATTAAATTGGATGATTGCTGAAACATGACATAATCCAAACAATCTCTTATGCCACTTTTTAACTTTTCTAGCAGTGTTAAAATTAATATTTTTGCTGTAGAAAAATTCTAGTTCCTCACATCTAAATCAACTGGGAGATGAAATTTCCTATTATATCATTTATTTTATAAAGGAACCTATGTCTACATTATCTTTAAAAACTATTACTTACACCTTATGGATATAGAAATCAATTCAAATGAACTTCAATCCGGGAGTAGAAGAATATATCCATTTTTTGTTCTGGTGCCAACTTATATAGATACAGTTTAATATCCTTAAAAGTATCACTAACTTTAAAATTCTCAGAAATTGAGAATAGAGTGCAATTTGAAAACTGAACATTTAAATGATAACTACTATAGAGTAATTCTATAGTATTACTTGATTGGATTAAATGTTGAAGATGTGTTCCAAATTTGCATATCTGGTAACAGCACCAGCATTAACATTCAGAAATGTGAAAATGTATGTTTTAGCATATGGCCTTTTGTATATTTTTAGATGAGATCAGTGTATCAAATGCAGCACTTTAAAAAATTGTCAATCATGGTTTATCAGTTTAGTGTGCTTTATGAAGGAATTAAATGGGTGCATTATTTTTTTGTAAACTGGCATTTTTAAAACATCTAATATTTTACAGTGGTACCATATATTACAACAGTATTTCATGGAAATACATACTGAATATGTTCTGTTTAACATGCTCTCTTGAGTTTAATTATAGCAACACTAACATGTAACATTATGCATGCATGTCCCACTTTGTATTAACTTGTATTTCTGCTTTCTATCTTTAATAAAAATTGATGCTGATACATATACATACTTTACACAAGCTATTGCAAAATGTATTGCAAATTATTAGCAAACAATTCCAGTGTGGGTTTTTTTTAATTAAACAACTGTTTTTGAATTGTCTATGGATTTAAATCAGTTTGAACTCTATGAAACTGCTTTATATTAACACTGCTATTCTAAGCAACTGTTGTATTCCATTAGCATCTCAGGCAGAGTTTCTTCCCATTAAGTATCTCCAGTGAAAAGGACTGAGTCTGGCTCTTATGCATTCAGCCCCTTTATGAGGGAGATGGGTGGTTAAAAATAAGATTAGGTAGGTAGGTAGATAGATACCTTGCATAATATGCTGGAATGAATGACCCCTGTGTAAAATTAAAACAATATTTAACAATAATTAATTTTGGAAAAGTGGTTTTGAAAAATAACTAAATATTAGATTGAGAATTAGCTACTTTTAGTATGTATTCATTAAAATATTAGGGTAATGTTACTCATACCCTTAAGTTTTCATTTATTTCAATGGGTCAACTCTTGTGGAGCTAATTTTCATCTAATTAAGTATGTGGGATCTGTTAGTCTGAAAATGTGGAAAACTCCCCCAAAAATGAGGAGGTGGAGTTGCACTGTATGTAAAGGACCACTATATTGCTACAGAAATGCATGAAACCAAAGATGAAAACCACCTAGAATGCATATGGGTCAATATAAAAGAAAAAAAGAATGACATGGCCATAGGCGTATATTATAGACCACCCAATCAAGCAGAAAAAATAGGTGTCCTTTTTGCCAGCCAACTAAGAAACATATGCAGGAAACACAACAATAGTAATGGGAGACTTCAATTATCCTGATATCAATTGGAAAACTAATTCTGCATGAAGTGAGAAATCAAATAAGTTCCTTACCAACCTAGCTGACAACTTTGTTGTCCAAAAGGTAGAGGGTGAAACTAGAGGAACAGTCATACTGGACTTAATTCTTACAAACGGAGAAGAAGTGATAGAGTTGAAACTGTAGGAACCTTGAGTGAGAGTGACCATGTCATACTAGAATTCAACATAACACAAACACAAGCAACAGAACATAATGACACCAGAGTCTTGGATTTTAAAAGAGCTGATTTCAATAAACTCAGAGAGAACTTGGGAAAGATTCCATGGATGAAAATCCTAAAGGGGAAAACAGCTCAAGAATCTTGGGAAACTCTAAAAAGTATGATCATAGAAGCCCAGACCAGCACAATACCAATGAGAAAGAAAAACAAGAAATCCGAGGGGACTTCCGGTTTGCAAGGCTTCAGCGGCGGCAGGAATCCATGATCGTGCGCAGTTTCCGCTGCGTTCGCCGCTGGAGTGCCCCCAATCCAGCCGGATTTGAGGGCTAATAGTTACCCCATAGAGGTAACTGAAGACGGAGATCTGGCAGGGGTCCGGGGGAATCGCAACCCCCCTCTTCAACTCCTTTTTCTGAAAGCGGTGGAGCAGCGGTCAGCAATGGCTGCCACAAAGAAGCTTCCATCCGGATAAGAGTGTGCAGGAGGAAGCTGAGAAAGTGAAAGTTCTGGCTGACCGGGATAATAAGTAGCATTTCAATACCCTGGAATTTGAATTTCATTAAAGATACATCGTTCCTAAAAAAGATTGGAAAAAGCAGCGAATGAAAGTTAAAAGGGAAAGTTTGTTTTTTCTCACTCTCCTTCCTTACGGTGACAGCTGTTGAATGAGAAATCGGAAAAACCCGCTTTGGCATCAGGTAATTAAACTGAAAAGTAAAGCCAAGGACAGTAAAGAAAAAACGTTTTTCGTTATAAGTGGGAAGGGAGAGGAAAAGAATTAATATTAAGATTTTGCTGGAGGAGGTTGCTTGGAATTTATAAGATTAGAGCTAAATTGTAACAAGACTTCTAAAAGGTACATTTTAAATTGGAACTTTGCAACTGAACTGTAACCCCAGGAAGAGAAAGTGTAAAAAGAAGAAAGTGCTAAATGAAACAGTCTGTGTGTATTTGGATTGCTTGGTGACTTTGGGACTTTTGGAAATTATTATTTGAAAGACTAAAAACATTTGGGTTGTTTAAAAAAATTTTTTTTTTCACAATGGCATTACTTGTCGATGAACTGAAAATGGAATTCAAAAAGTTAAAAGAAGAGGAACAAGAAGGGAAGGGCTCTTCTGGCTCTGTTTTTCATTTCTTAGAAATGCCTATTTCTACCTATCAGAAACTACAAGAACAACAAGAAGATTGGGATGAAGAAGAAGCCATCTTTAACAAACAAGCAACTCTAGTTGGGGAAGAAAAGGGAAAGAGGGGAAAGGGAATGGAGAATTTAAGACCTAAAAAAACAACCAAATAAGAGAAAAATAAGGTGAAAAATCGATACAATGTTAGAAAGCAACAGAAAAGAGGAACACAGAAGAGGGTGGAGATCAAGAGACAAGGGGGTAAAAAGGCTAGATTGGAGAAGAAAGGAAAAGGGAAAGAGAAGTTACAAAGGTTTGAAACAAGATGTAAAGAGACAGGATTTTTTCAGAGATAATGGGTAAAAATATAATTTAAAAAGATTCTGCAAATGTACATATTGTATTGTATTGTATTTGTATTTGAAATAATGTTAGAAAACTGGAACATTATATGATTATAAAATGGGATAAAATATTAAAAGGAATGTGTAAAATGTTTAAGACTTAACGATAGAGTTTAATTTATGGATTATTGTTTTAATTATATTATAAACTTATTATTTTTTCTTATTTTAAAATATAGTATGTAGCTTTAGAATGTACTAAGCAGAATCCGAATGAAAATTATATATATTTTTAAGTGTGAAATTTAGGGGAATTTTAGGGGAATTATATAAAGGCGTCATACTTCAATCAGTGATTACAGGAGAAAATTTGTATTAATGAGAAAAGATAATAGATAATTGAAACAGAACAGACAAAAGATATAAGCATAATGATCTAAATTGAGATGAAATAAATAAAACAGAATTAAGAGAGTGAAAAGAGGGGAGAAGCTATATAGAAAATGTAGAATGGTAAATAAGATATGAAATGGTATATAAAGTGAGCATGAATTCGAATTTATGTCTGTACAAAAAGATGTAACCCGGGATTAAGCCGCTTTCCAAAAAGAAGTTTTATGTTTTCATGTTTTGTGTTTTGTTTGTGTATGTTTGTTTATTGAAAATTAATAAATTTTTATATATATAAAAAAAAGAAATCCAAGAAGAAACCAGCATGGTTGCACAAAGATCTCTTTGGCAAATTGAAAGAAAAAAAGGACAAGTACAAAAAATGGAAAGAAGGGCATACAACTAAGGCAGAATATCAGCAGATAGCCAGAATCTGAAAAGACGAAGTCAGGATAGCAAAGGCTCAGAACAAACAAAGACTTGCAACAAAAGTCAAAGATAATAAAAAAAGTTTCTTCCAACATATAAATAACAAGAAAAAAATCAAGGAAACAGTCAGTCCACTAAAGAGAGAAGATGGCAAGGAAGTAACAGGCAACAGAGAGAAAGCAGAACTGCTTAACTCATTCTTTGCATCGGTCTTCACGCAAAAAGAAACTACAGCTCAGCCCACCAAAAACATAACTGTAAAAGACAGACCAGAAATAAAATAAGCAAAAAAATAGTAAGAGAACACCTGTCCGATCTTGATGAAAACAAATCACTGGGGCCTGATGGATTACATCTCAGAGTTTTAAAGGAGCTGGTAGAGGTCATCTCAGAACCACTGCACCATATCTTTCAAAAATCCTGGAGCACCAGGGAACTACCAGAGGACTGGAAAAGAGCTGATGTGGTTCCCATCTTCAAAAAGAAAAAAAGCAGACCCAGGAAACTATAGACCAATCAGCCTAACATCAATACCTGGGAAGATACTGGAAAAGATAATAAAAAAACAGATCTGCCAACATCTAGAAACAAGTAAAGTAATAACTAGCAGTCAGCACAGGTTTGTTAAAAACAGATCATGCCAAATCAATCTTATTTCATTCTTCAACACAGTGACTAAATTAGTAGACCAGCAAAATACTGAGGACATAATATATTTAGATTTCTGCAAGGCATTCGACAAAGTAGACCACAACCTACTTCTTAGTACGCTATAAAAAAGTGGAATAGATAGCACCACCACTAGATGGATTCGCAACTGGCTGGCAAACCATACTCAACGAGTAGTCCTTAATGGGTCTAAGTCTACATGGAGGGAAGTAAGCAGTGGGGTGCCACAAGGTTCCGTCTTAGGCCCAGTACTCTTCAATATCTTCATTAATGACTTAGATGAGGGAATAGAAGGGGAACTTACCAAATTTGCAGATGATACTAAGCTGGCAGGAATAGCTAACACCCAAGAAGATAGGCTCAAGATCCAGATGGATCTTGACAGACTAGAACACTGGGCCATATCTAATAAAATGAAATTCAATATAGTAAAAAGTAAAGTCCTACACTTAGGCAAGAAAAACCAAAAGTACACATATAGACTGGGTGAAACCAGGCTCAATAGCAGTAACTGTGAGAGGGATCTTAGTGGACAACCAGCTAAATATGAGCCAGTGGTGTGCAGCAGCCGCCAAAAAAGCTAATGCAATCCTAAATTGTATTAACAGAGGGATACAGTCAAGATCAAGGGAAGTACTAATACCACTCTATAAAGCCTTAGTAAGACCACACCTAGAGTACTGCATCCAGTTTTGGTCACCACATTATAAAAAAGATGTTGAGATTCTAGAAAGAGTACAGAGAAGACCAACCAGGATGATTAGGGGACTGGAGGCTGATGATTAGGGGACTGGAGGCTAAAACATACGATGAACAGTTGCAGGAACTGGGCTTTGCTAGTCTAGTAAAGAGAAGGACCAGGGGAGACGTGATAGTGGTCTTCCAATATTTGAGGACCTGCCACAGGGAGGAAGCTATTTTCTAAAGCTCCCGTAGGCCAGACAAGGAATAATGGATGGAAACTGAACAAGGAGAGATTTCACCTGGAAACAAGGAGAAACTTTGTGACAGTGAGAACAATCAGCCCATGGAACAGCTTTCCCTCGGAAGTTGTGGGAGTGCCATCAGTTGAGACTTTCAAGAAGAGATTGGACTGCCATTTGTCAGAAATGGTGTAGGGTCTCCTGCTTGGGTGGGGGGTTGGACTAGATGACCTACAAGGT